CCTTCTTTCATTTGGAAGGGTAAGCTCATGAAGCAGAATATTTCATGGAATAGACGAGAAAAGAAATATTTGAAATTGTCAGAGAATCGAAGGATTTATCTAGATAAAATGATGAAGAATTCCCAGTAGAAACTCGAGTGTTCTCAAACCTCGAACATTTTAAGCACACATACGTTCAACAAAATACGAGTCTTCACCAAATAACAACAGAATATAGACCTAATTTATGGAAGATATTTGTCTGAATCTTACCAAATGAAAATTCCTGGTTTCTGTTCTTTGGTCCACTGTGCAAAAATGTGTGTATTATGCAAATTTGTTTCGATCTGTGTTGTTTTGACGTGCTATTCCTTATTTATTGCAAAGAAATACAATTTCTGCCAAGGTGTGAATCCAAAGAGGAAATGAAACACTGTCTCTGTTTTTATTGACTCACTGCATCATGAATCTGTTGTTGGAAATTAGTTAATTTTGATGTTTTGTAATTTCCAATTCAGATGTCTCCAAATTTTAGATTGTGTAAACTTACTGTTGCAAGTTTACTTTAACTAACTCCAACAATTTATTGTGAGGAGATTTTCTTGATTCCTGTTGCTGGGTTTGGTAAATCAACAACTCCTCAGTTTTACAAAAGTATTAGTCAGCTTTATTCTGCATTTGACAGCACTAATGTACTTGAGCAAAGTTCAGACAGCAATGAGCGCGCGAGAAACAGTAAACAGTCAGCTATATGTATTTGGACATCTGGAATTAGGCAACAGTGGTCAGACCTGGATCTAACCTTATTTCAGAGGAGGGTTGAGTAACCCGCTGTGGCGCATGACTCAACAGAGATCACGTGGCAAGGTTGTGAGACAGGCTACGCAACTTTCTCAGAGCGTCTTCTGCTAGGTGAAAGGGAATGTAACAAAGTTACTGATGACATATTGATTAATAACTTTACATTACTCAACATTTTCACATTTTAGCCAGTTACTTTGCCTGTGCAAAATAGTTCCATACAATTCAAAATAAAATATCCTTGGTTAGTCTTTGCACATCAGCTCAGTTTGTGGTCAAACGTTGGGTGGAAATCAATGAAATGTGACTGATTCGCGTGCCAATTCAACAATTTGGTGATCTGACGTCGGCTGTATTCTGTATATTCCTCCTGACAAACAAATGTTCTTCTATATAAATGAGCCGCGAGAGAAACGTTAAAAGAAAGTATTTTGAAGATGCTTCTCCATTTTTTCAAGACACCAATTCTTTTTGGAAGCGCTGATGAAAAATCGAGAATTCAAAGAAAGGACTGATGGAAAAGCGACTTGCTTCAAGTAAGTGCTTTGAGTGTGTACATGGTTGATCAGCTATCTATTTATTTTTTCGAGGTTTCCCAAATTTTTTTTTCTATCGATGCCAAATTTTATAATTTTTCCCGAATCACTTTTGAAGATGCACGAGTTGAGAAAATGCTGTCATGCAACGGCTTGTTCTCAGTTTAGAAGCGGCGAGTAAACTGAATTTTTGGAAAAATCCCCTATCCTCCGTTTTTTCTAGAAGTCGTACACTACTTGAAATGTACAGGATTCAACTGCATTTTCTAAGGCTGCATTTGTTGATTATCTGCTGGGGCAAGATCCGCTTGTATGCTCTATCATCAGGATCCAGATTAATTTTTTGTGGGCAAAAATAAAAATTAAAGAGCCGAGATTTTCATTACTACACACGAGATTCCTTTTAATTTTCAAGGAAAAATATAAACTGAACAACAAGATCAAGAGAACTTCCATCGATTCGAACGTATATTGAATATGTTCAATGCTCCCATATATGGAATGATGCATCACATTTTAGCGATATAAACGAGTCTTGCTATAAACTCGTACCTTTTGGTGGAAGTTTTGTCACAAAATCTCACTTTCGTTACAGAAAAAAAGAGGATATAAAGATTGAATCCTCACGACACAAGACGTCAGGTATTAAGGAAAGAAGACTCTTATACTTTGCAAAAGAGTAAATCACGTAGAAGACCAACTTATGTGGAACTATACAATAAATGTATGGGTTGTAATTTTAGCAATCAATAATATGTCATTACCGGTGTAAACCTTAAAGGAAACTATGTGTTGTGTCATTCCAATTTTTCGAAATTCGTGAGCAACTTTAAAAAGGGTACACATATGAGATCCTCAACATGCCTCAGCATGTGTACGTTTGAATTGGGGATACTTTATAATTGAAAACATCTTCAACGACAACTGGACAATGTAGCAAGATATGGACATTTCCCAAATTACCCCATGGAAATCAATGAATCTTTTTTTGTGAATGTTTACCTCTCTTGATGGAATAGAGCTATTTTTATGCTTACAGAAATTAAAATGAATTGCATGATAAGATCATTTCAACTTAAATTCAGAAATTGACTAGTTTTTTGTCGCTTTTTCAGAGTTTTCCCTTCAAGGGTGCTCAGTACAGCCAGACTTGATCTTTTTCTCAGCTTCTTAGATGAGCTCCTTCTGAAGAACACAGATCAGATTCTGTTTGATTTTCTTCAGCACACTTATTATCTGTACCTTGAAATTGAGAAAAAAATGCGAATCAATTTTTTGATATTCTATTTCTAATTTTCAATGCACAATAAGAGAACCATTTGTTCCCATTATTGATGTCCATGGGAAAGTGTGATTCAGCATGCGGATTTTCCAACATGATGACAAGTCTCAAGGACCAATTACATCCACATCTCTGCTGTGCCCCACTATAATTGAAAAAAAACAAACAATGGAAACATCCTGAAAATCAAAAATTAAAATTTCAAGTTCAATGGTGGAGGGGCTCCTTTGGAAAACGATCACGTTCATGCTAACGATTTTTTGCAGGCCAGTTCCTATAAGTTCTTGGTTGAAGCCATGCAGGGATGAGAGCTACATGCAGTGGTTTTGTTTACGAAAGAACGATCGGATACAAAGAGTTGATGGCCTAATTCCCTGATACTTCAGAGTACCGTTCTGTGTCCTGCGTTGATGCATAAACTACGCAGGTGTGAGAGAAACTCCTCATTCGAATTTTCGCCGCACTCAAAGTACTGTACAGTACTTCTAAAATGTGGCACTTCTTACTGCTGACGTCAAGAATCAACAACAGACCCGGTGAGGAACTGAAAGCAGGAGTATCTGACACGTTAGTGCCTTTTTTTCCGAGGGAGTCTTTCGGAAAGTATGCTGTTTTATTCCACAAGTAAAACTGTAGAAACTGCTTTGCTTCTTCATTTTCCAAGTTCCATTCATCCCAGTGTCAAATGCAACAGTGTTACACCTCTAGAGTCCAAAATCTGATCAACTGGTGTATTACAGGACGTTATCGTGTAGCTACCGATGGAAGGTAGCGTGTACTCAGCTGCTTTCTTTCCCGAAGAAAATAAAAACGTTCTCCTCAACTTTTCAATTATTGAGCAGCAGTGAAAGACTTGCTAGACTTGTGGCTGATTCTTGAGCCTACCGAAGGCACGTTTTCAAATTTCCCTATTGAAGTCTTCGGGAAATTTTCGTTGTTGCTGCCAGTGTTTCTTTCAGTGCTTTCATAAGCAGTCGCAGGAGGAGAAAAAATCTGACTGGGAGGAACAGTGAACCTGTCAAAAAGTATTTGAATAGAATATTCTTAACTATTCTGTGCATTACTAAGATACCTTACCATCAGTTTATCACTCGATGTTAGACAAAAATATCATCCTTCACGCACATTTCCTTCAGTCTTACTGTTAGCGACTCAAATTCAGAACAAATGACATCAGATGTGTTTCAAATATTAGGCTGCATTGATGCAGAAATTGCGCGTTCGTGAGGCCATCATTTTAAATCGTGGACGAGACGAAAAGTTTGAAAAATGCAGATACGAATGTTTGTTGTTGTCATTTTGTGACAGATATGCTGATAAAAAAACAATGATTGAGGACTTGGGGTAGCTTCTCGCTCAAAAAATGCATATCCGATAAGATAACAGAAACATATCCCGGTAATTTTTCTGCATTTCGGAAAGGCTTTTACAACAGCGAAGCACAGAATGAACTTCAAATACATTTTGTGACCATCAAAACTTCTACAGTAATAGCAGCTTATTAAATAATGACTTACGAAACTGGTACCGATCAGCTCACATCAAGGTTGGACGATTGGCGAGAAAATTGCGAATGTTATATATTATCTCGTGCAAACGCGAATTTTTCCCGAAAGTCAGTATTCTTCAAACTCGTTGGATCTGTAGCCAAGTAAACTTTCTGGATTTTTTTAAAAGTCAGCAGACGTTTTTTTTTAGCACACAGCCTTTCATTGAACATTATAGCTTCATTCAATTCAGAACAATCTATTTTTTCTTTCCTTCTTTCAAACTTATGCAGTTCAGGCACGTTTTTACAGAATTACGAAAATGCTTTCAGTCTTTAAGAGATGAAGATTTTGCCTATTTGCATTCGAAAAAACATTAGCTTGTTTCCGCAATTCAAGCGTTTCATCAAGATACTTCAGCGATTCTTTGAAACAAACTGTTTTGAAAAAAAAAAATTTTTTGCTGCCTCTTCATCGGTTATGGGATGCATATAAATTATAATATTTATGTAAAAGCTTTTCAAATTGACAATAAGCAACTTATGTTGATGGTGTTTTTTTCGTGTGTCAAATCAATGACAATCCAAAATGGCATAGGATTTTTACCATCATGCATCTTCTTAAAATGGAAATATTTCAGATATTCGCATTCGTGTTGAATCACTCCATTATTCATTCAAATAAAACTCGAACTCAATTGTGCATGTGTGACTGTCAGGTATGACCTTTTATCCGAACAGTACTTTCTCATCAATTTTAGGAATAGATAAGGAAAAGTTTTTGATTTTCTGGCATATATTGAACGTCGTGATTTGTTTTGAGCAAGACCAAAATACAGTATATACGCTTGCTGATTTGTGCATGAGGTCTTGAATGTCATCACCTCGTCTTCGCAGACTGTATTTCTGTCTATTCAGGCTTCACCAGTCCAAAGCTGCGATTATTTTTATTTTCTGGAGCTTTAATTGTGGGGATGGTGGGGTTTCTGTTTTGTTGATACATTCGCCATGAATGAATGTGAGAAATGATTTGAAAAAGAAAGAAAAGATAAAGGAATGGTTGGTGACGCGGTTCGGAGACCTCTGAAGCAGCATTTTCGGGCTGTGGTCCGAATTGTGTTCGCTGTTGCCATCGGTTCAATTTGCCTGTTTCCCACGCGACGAAAATCCCTGGTCCGCTTTGCCATTCCTTTGGGAATGACCATCGCCATCTTGATCATTTTTCGCCAATTTGGGAGAGGACCAACTGGAGGAAATGAGCAGCAGCAAATGCCGCAGCAGACTTTGGCACACCAAGCATTCCATGTCAATGATGGCGCTCAGGTGCTGCCTGTCAGTGAGATTCCTGTCCACGAGTTTCGTCCTGAAGCTTACAAGGGTAAATATATTGTACCAGAGGGGGTGATGACAAATGTTTGTGCTTGGATGAATGAATCAACTGAAAGCTTTATTTTCAACTTTTCAGTGTTCAATAAGTTCAATCAACAACATTTCCACATCCGAATCCCCTCCCCATCCAACCAAATCCATTCAAACGCATTCAATCACTTCAGAATGGGAATTGTGCTTGTAGAATGAATTTTTTTTTACTCATATCCATATGTTTCTGGTCATTTTTTGCAATCTCTGCAAAATTTCTATATTTTCAATTATATACTCAGCTTTTGATGTCAGATATTCATTTCACATTGATAATCAAGCAAATGCCTTTTTTTCATGCAGTTGTTCTTTCAAAAGCCCTTTAAAACTGACTTTGTGTTCAATTGTTTGAAAAATGTGAGAGAAAAACATTTCTTGTTCATTTGCATCACATGAATAAGCACAATGAAAAGTACATAATCAGTGAACCCCACAAACCAAAGGAAATGTGGAATCATCCAGTTTAAAAATGTAATTATTCCTGCAGATGGTATAAAATATGAAAAAATTCAAGAAAACAAATGCTTGATGTGTCATGAGATGGGCCCTTGTATAATCAAGATAAGATGATCCTTTCAAGTGTGGTTGGTACAATATACCCTGACCCTGGGTATCAGTGCTTTTTGTAAAAAAATGGTCCATTGAATATTATGTAATCCTTCAGCTGGCCCATTGTACAAATACAGGTCAAATTTTTTTTGAATATCAGGCATAAATGTGAATTTTTACTCTAAGGCTGTATATAGGAAGACTGTATATAAGATGGCTGTGTATAGTACTGTAAGCAATTTGTAAAAATAATTTGTAAAAAAGATTTTTTATATACCGTATTTACTTGAGTACCACGCGCACCTTTTTTCTCAAATTTCAGAAGAAAAAAAGGGGTGCACGTCATAAGTGGGTACACAATTTTCAAGAAGTTTTAGGAAGTTGTGTGTTAATTATACTTGATTATAATGGAGAAATCTGTGACAAATGTACCAAGAAAACTGTTTTTACTGAAAAATTTGAAAATTGATCAGATTCATGTTCAATTCACATCAAAAGTCAAATATTTTGTTTTTATTTTCAAAATTTTGTAGTTTTAGAGTCCTTATAAAAATGGGGTGCGCATCTTATCCCAGGATACAATTTTAGCCAAATTTTGAACTGAAAAATCCCTGTGCATGCCTTACTCAAGGGCACGGGGTACTTGAGTAAATACAGTAGTATCTCATTATTCAGGCAAGTAAAGTTGACATTTGGATTGGTGAATTAACAATGAAATTATTGAAGAAAGATTTTTTTGTTTATTGTGAAATTATCTGAAATGCATTAAACCTTTTCCAGACATTCATGAAATGGTGCTGAACAACATAAGCCTGCATAAACACAAGCCTCGTAAAGCCCTGTATTATGGATTCAAAAATGAGTCCATGGGAATATTGTATAATGCTTCAAGCATTGATACATCATGCTTCTGGCGAAGATTTGCTCTGAAATGGCTCACAGCTGAAACACAGCCCTTTGACCAGTCGCCAACTGTTGCCAAGTACTTTCTAGGTGGACCCTTCATCGGAGGAAAGGTCTTCAACACCTGTGTCATAGTGTCCAATGCTGGGGACATGAGGAATTCGTCCATGGGGAATTTCATTGGCAAGTTCTAGTTATTGGGGGAAACTTGTTGAACCTGTCAAATGCGTATAGACTATACTTGCAATATCAAGAGGGTCCCTATATTAAGAGAATACAATGGTTTCTTTTTCCAGATATTGGATGATGCACTCAATTTCAGGTAGTGTATTTTGTCTTTGTAATTTTTAAGAAAAATAACAGGACATCTCAACAGGAAAAGACAGTTTTCCATAGTACAATATATACTAGTAACTTTTCTCCAAGAATAAGCATCATCAATTTCATAGTTCAACTTTGTTCTCACTTGTAAAATGTCCAGCTGAATTGGCTGGACCAATCCTTTAATTTTCTTTCAAAATTCAAAGAAAATCTGGAAGCTCTCATGAGTGCAAAGGAGACCTGCACATACATGCAGATTACACTGAGCATCTTTTCTGTGGAAATTATTTATATTACCTATTTATTGAATGCACAGTACAGTACCTCTTATCTACAAATAATTGATTAGTTATTCCCCTACCTATAGCTAACCTACCTATGATATAGTATCACTGCAGATATACAACATAAGAAGTTGCAAACTAACTGGAATTTGAACCCAGGACCTCTGGATGGGGAGTTGAACCCCTCAGGCACACAGCTACAGCCCACTTTATGCAGAGCAAGTCATGAAGATAGGTTTATAGACTGGTGCCAGGAACTTGCAGATAAGTTCTCGAAACTGGTCCGCAAGTTCCTGGCGCCAGTGACACTGGTGCTAGAAATGCGTGGACACAAGTTCTGCAAAATATGCAGAACTCAGTTTTTAAAAAACTTGTCCGCATATTTTGCAGTTTTTGGAGAAAATGTCCTCTAAAATTGGGCTCTGGCAGATAAGTTTGGAGGACTTGCCCACACATTTCTGGTGCCAGAGTCTGGCAGTTAGTGCTCTGGCAGAAAAGTTCTCCAAACTTGTCCGCCAGCAGTGCACAATTTTAGAGGACATTTTCTGCAAAAGATGTCTGTAGAACTCATTTGGGTGAGTTTTGGATATGTTTAGGAGAATTTTTTATCTCACTGGGAGTCTGTAATAATTATTGAAAGAGCTAAAATCAAAAATTACAATGGGAATAAAGTTTTTGTCCACTGCTGTTTTAATTTTTCTCTGCACAAACCATTACAAAAAATGTTCAAAAATGTTCAATGTTCTCAAATTTCCTAAAGCCTCATAATCAAGTTACATTTTGATGGCAGAGGCAGAAATGACAGAATGGAAAACCTTGCATGAAAAATGTCATCAGATTCACGAAACTTTTTCTAAGCAAGTTTTCTGCCGAATTTAAGTTTTTAAAAGATTCTAGCTGAAATATTCAGGTTCAAATCACCTTATACCTGTGATTCCCAATGCGCATGCGTCAGGTAACTATAAGGAAAGCAAAAAATTCCTTTTCTTTCTTCCCATTTTTCAGCTTTGGCATGAAATATCCTTTGGCACTACAGTATATTGGGGTGATATCCCTAAGTAACACAATAGATGGAGATTTGTTCAGGTAAAATTTGTGGCACTAAGAAATAAAAGTGGAAGTAGATTAGGGGGCACTGAATTGAAGGTTGGCATTGAATAGCTCAATTTCTACAAAATTTATCAAAATTTATCAATAACATGCTTGAATTTTTGGGAATATTTCAGAAAAGTTTCCCTAACTCGAGCCAATGTCCAGATGTTAAGCCTGATTTTGTTTGTTTGTTTTCAAGTGACCCTAAGTCATATTGTCCATGTTTTGGGGTGTCCCCATATTGGGGTCTCACTTTACATATCATTCTCATCAGACTCTCATGAGCTGGTGTTTCGGCTGAATGATGCCCCAACAGCAAGATATGAAGCAGATGTAGGCAAGACCACATCTGTTCGCATCCTCAACAACTCTGTGTGGAGGAATGCTTACAACCCAAAAAAGGACAAAGACAAGGGTTTCCATTCGAACCCAATTTACCACAACGTTGTCCTGGCAGTCTGGGAGGCATGTTTGAAAAGAGGGCCTTTCTCGTCAGTATGTCATCCAAAAACTAACTTGACTCAATAGGTTGACTCGGTTCCAAAGTTTTTCATGCAGTCTATTTCCAGTGTTTGAACCAAGTTGGAACCCCGCATGTTCGCAAGGGAAAGAATGAAACTGATGATACTATTCAGCCGTATTTCAAGAGACGACAAGAGTTCCCAGAAGAACTGTTTTACTTCATGAACCCGGACATGTTGTGGGACATGTGGGACATGCTGCAGTCCTTTTCTCCCGTACCCATTGTCGCAAGAATCCCAAGCACAGGTTTCCTGGGTATGTGAGCTAGCCATTTATTCATTTTTGGTTCATTCGAACCTGCAAGAGTAAGTTTTTTATTTCATTTTCCAGCTGTGCTTGTTTCCCTGTGGCATTGCAAAATGGTGGACCTGGTTGGTTTCACACCAACCGTCAGATTTCGAAGGGGCAAAGGAGGAAACCATTACTTTGACTCCGTTGCATCTGGTCAGTGGGGATCTTTCAATTCATATCATCCGAAGACAACAGAGATGTCACTCTTGTACAAGCTCAACTCCTTGCCAGATGATGACGTTTTCATCAAGGGGGTCATGAGGTTGCTGGGCTTTTCCTCTATAGATTGCACCAGTTCGAAATTCGCATGACGCGGAAATTTTTTTTTCCCCAATTTTTCGAGTATTACATTTTTCTCAGTGTCTATTTCGTCAAAAGTCACTTTTCCCCCACATAGAATATGAATGATGACTATTATAGTCACTGCTTTGCATACACTGGTGGCTTGCTTAATGACCACAATTTGTTCCTGATGTGCAGTGGTTGTTAGGTGAAACGGTTGTGAGGCAGGTCATGTTTTCCCCTGCGAATTAATGTAAAACCCATGAATTGGTTCCTGAAAAAAACATCTTGCAGAAAAAGGTAAAAATTTGCCTAAATTTTCAAATAACAAAGCACAGATCCCCCAAAACACTGCTATAGTTCTTCAAATGCTTTTACTTATTGAATTACTTTGCTTTCTGAAAAAAAAATTGCATAGCAATTGTACTTCATGTGTATGCTATTGCTATGAGAAAAGCAGGAGTCATTCCTCCAGTATAAATTTGCATAGATATCCCTTTTGCATGATGGGCATGAAGCAATTTTAGGCCTAGAATATCACCAATTACAAATTTCTTTTGTTCATCTCACTCTCCCTCAACAAAAATGCTTGAGAAACAACCATTCCTGTTGAGGGGACGGAAGAACAGCATTAAAATGTTTTTCTTGTAAATTTATCAGTGCAATATGGAAGGCCGGAAAACATTCACTAGGCAGTTCAGTGGTCATTAGGCAAGGCAGTTTTTTTTTTTGGTTTTCAGTGGTTGTTAGGCACATCAGTTATTAGGCAATGCAATGTCAGGCAAGGCACCACTGTAATTGTGTTTGTATGGAGTGTAAGCTCATTCCTCTGCCACTCATGCAGCTACCTGATTCTGACAATATTTCCTGCATCACAGCAACTCAATTTCATAATGTTAGCTACGAGGGTTCTAACAAAAGTTCTTAGAATGAAAATGAAGATGGCATCTAATTGAGCTGGAAAAAAATTATTCTTTAGGGCAACCATATTCTTCGGCACAAAAAAAAATCAGCCCAGTTTGACAATTTTTTCAATTTTTTGCAAAATTTACCCTGGCAAACTTTTGCTATGCACTCAACAGATGAGGCACCCTTCCTGCAGCTTTTTTTTTTTGTGGCCCAGTTTCCCCCTTGCCACTTTTTTTCCAGCTCAAAAGTGGCGGCTGTGACGGCGGCTGTCGATGAAAATGGCGGAATTGCCTTAGATGACCTGGAGGCAACCCTTAGAGAAAATGCCAAGTTGACTTCAAGAATTCGGAGGGGGAAACTGGGCCACAAAAAAAAAAGCTGCAGGAAGGGTGCCTCATCTGTTGAGTGCATAGCAAAAGTTTGCCAGGGTAAATTTTGCAAAAAATTGAAAAAAATTGTCATACTGGGCTGATTTTTTTTTTTGTGCCAAAGAATATGATTGCCCTAAAGAATAAATTTTTTTTCAGCTCAATTAGACGCCATCTTCATTTTCATTCCAAGAACTTTTGTTAGAACCCTTGTATCTTTGGGATGAGGTACACAGTTTAAAACAAGACAAATTCCAGAGCAATTGCCGTAAGCAATGAAAGCCCACACAAGATTTATTACTTATGCATAAGTGGTTGAAAGCAATACAGTATCTAGAAAAGGAAAAACTTGAAGAAATGAAGCGCTTTGTTCAGGGGTGCACACAGGACAGAACAATCAAGAGCAACGGGACCCAATTGGTGCAACGGAGCAAGTGGGCGGACCCAAAGATGCGGAAAACTCCGCCCAGGTTTGTGGTTTCCGCCGACTTTAATGATGAAATCTCAATGGATTCCTTTGGTCGGGTCGCTCTTCAGCAAAGTGAAAACCCGGCAGGAAATCCAAACTGTTTTGATCGAGTCGGAATTCACAAAATAGTACAGAACTTGGTAATCACCATCAGGGACTATAAAAGAATAAATCACATTGGGCTGATTAATTCATGACTCCATCTCAGAGATTTCCTACTTTAATGCAAGTAAATTCTTGTGGAGACTTTCCAGGACAACTTTGTGCTAGAACCCTTGCTTGACACATGCTCCAACATAGTCACCATCATTTCTTTAAAATTTTCTACACACATTTTTGCAAACTTCTTCATCTAAACGTGTTGGGTATGATAAGTATGTTCAGTCAAACAGCTGAAACCTCCCTGTGGGTGGAATTTGGAGGGACCAGCAGGAAAAATTGACTTGAGGAGGTTTTGAGTTGGGAAAAGAAACATTTTTGTGGTGGGAAACATGATAGTACAGTATTTCATGGAATTTCGAAGGATGGTATTCTGGGCCTCTAATTGCTTTGTGAATGAGTTGACAGGATGCTGAATGCGGAGGCAGGGGTTCTTTTGTCCTATTAGTCCTTCACATTCCTTTTTTAACCCTTGGGTGGCAAAGTTGGACTTTTTTGTTGTGAAATTTTGTGTCACCTAGAGTTCAATTTTTTTTGAATGCCAAGCAGTGAGTGGCCAGCAAAGTTAGAAGAAATCCTGGCTTTTTTGTTGTTGCTCTGCACAGATAATGCTTGCTAAAGAATAAAAAGAAGAAATCCTCAGGACAGAGGCTTTTTTGGCCCAGAAAGTGGCTTGGCACCTTTGGAAGAAGTCCTTCATGACGTTCCTAATCTTAATCCATCTTTGGTGTAGGGAAATTTTGCTACCTTCATTCAGACACTTGCATTTAAAAAGGAATTTGTGAAACAGGAGATAAAAGACACAATGAGAAGGAACACTGAAGAAGATTTAAAGAAAGTTTAAGGAAATAAGCTGATATGGAACAACATTTTTAAATCATTCCTTTTAGTGGCTCATCCATGATCTTATGAAAGCAATTCCAAGGGATATAAAAGCACACAACATTTTTGAAGGGTTTTGTGGTGGACTCAAGGCAATGCTACTGGTATGGAGGTTAATCCAGAAAAAGTCTGACTTTGGAAAATTCAACAGTCTGCATTCCCCTGGATTTTCTCTGGCTATACCTCACACATGTTGGCTGGGGTTTTGTGACCTCCAGAAAAAAGAAAATTTGGTAAAAGTCCAACTTAGCTGCAGGATGGGAAATAATCCTTTGCTTTGGAAGGGTTAATGATTGTCTTTTTCTCATGTCAAGAAAAAATAGACAAAAGTCTTGGAAAATTCGAGATACAGTATGTAGGGTTTAGCACAAGGAACTTTGGGGTAGTGAGGTTTCTGATGTGTGGTTTCTAAGGAATTTCCGACGTTGAATTGAAAGCAAGATCAACATTGTGATGTTGAAGTTATTGTGCTTCAACTGTATTATACAGTACCAGCAAGGGATCCGGCACTGGAAGGCATATGAATGGAAAGAAGGAACTCTTTCATTCCTTTTTTCATAGTTTTTTTTTTTCGTTGGAACGATTTCATTCGAAGGAAAAGTATACTCAACTAATTTTTAGGGAAATTATCACCTGACCTCATAAAAATGAATAATATCATTATTCCAGTTACAATTACCTCAAAATGACAGTATGCAGGTAATTTAGCTTTAATGCACTCATGAGCATGGTTTTCTTCATCGGATTTTTCCTTGATAACATTGGGTTGCATGAAAGTTACTTATAGAGCTACGTGGAAGCACAGCAGGAATCATAATCGACATGATTGCATGATCTCGTGTTTGAATGGCCTATATGGACTATATGCCGTCAACCTGCTCTTGGTTGTCTCCTGAATCCCTGGACAAAACTGAATCCATCGTCCCGGTGCTGGTACTAGGACGATGGCTAGTCGACTCCAGCGTCCTCTATATAGTAATGCTAGAAAAAATCAGCACACTTGGAAGTCAATTTCACACCATAAAAACTGGAAGAAGTGTTTGAATTCTGATTCGGCGTGCGACCTGCTGTGAAAATGAAATAAAAGAACAATTGTTTGTATGCGATAAATGCTCGTATTCTACTTCGTCATCAACCCTCGGAATTTTAGGACCATCTTAGATAATTATTTTAATGCATAAACGCATCCCCAGCATAGAGAATCCTTTCCGATCGATGTTTACTTCATGGATGTTTTTTTTTTTATTTCGATGTCCAGTAACATTTTTCCAACCGCATTTCCGCAGTTGCAAAATTTCAGCAAACACTATACACAACACGACTAACCATGAACGTTATGCTTACAACTTCGTACATTTCTAGCTTGCAAAAACGGAAACGATTTGCAACCCTGCACCGACAGAGAAAGTGAACTCGCTCATGTATACACGTAAAGGAGTGCTGTGCAATTAATTCATCTGGCAACGACGAAAAACTTCCGCAGAATAACTTTTAGACTCGAGTAAATATAACTGCAATTTAAGAACGCTGCTCGCCCGATTTTCGTGAATTTTCGAACCTTTCTGAATTCGTTTGTGTGCAATCTTCTTCTTATTTGAAGAGAGGTTCGATTCGGGCACTTCGGTGCTCATGAATATATTTAGATTTTCTTTAGTGTTCTTCTGTGTTCTGCAAACGCAATTCTTCCAAGTTTCGAGGATATTCTAAGCTACAGTTATTTCTTGCTATCTTGTCACCGTATTACATTAACACAAAACATGACAATAAGCTTATTCTTTGAAAAATTTCAAAATAATTTCCGAAACGAAAGAAAAAAGGCAGTGGTAATATTCCATGCAGAGAACCACAAAAAACCATTTTCCATGTCCTTAGATTCCCTAAAAAAGTCTATGAAGCGCATTTGTATCCAGAATTGTTGATGAGCAAACGTTGCCAATTCGTTTTTAATGCGCATGGAATCCAAGAATACATTCGTGATTGTAAACATGTCACAAGTCTTCTCTCAATAAGTTCTTGGATGCTACCGCGTGCAGCAGTAACAGCCATTGCGATCTTTCTTTTGGCGGAAATTCGAGAAAGAAACCAACTGCTGATGCGTTGGCCTCGTTTTTTCGCACGTAGGAAGTACTGATTTTCCGCGGAAAGCCTGATGCGTTTCTGCGCAGTTAGAAAGGAAACAATCTAAGTGAAGTTGCGCGAAAGTACTGCACTTCAAAGACGCGACACTTTCTGCTGACGTCAATGAGAAAGAGCGACAGAAACCTGGATTGGAATTGGAATCAGGAGCAACTGCCACTTTCGAGTACTTATTATCCCGAGAAGTCTTGTGGTGGGGAGTGAACGAATTCTAGTAGGAAAACTTGAAAAACTTTTGCGCTTTTTCGTGTTCCCAGGGAAAAGGAAAATCGGTGTGTGAAAGGAAACACGTTTGTCCTCCACG